CTACATATATATATATATATATATATATATATATTGATATATATATATATATATATATATATATATATATATATTGATAGCGTTTTTGAAATCCTTTGAATTACCGCTTTATTAAATTTATCTTTAATAATATATATATATATATATATATATATATATATATATATATATATATATATATATATATGGGTTAATGATGTATAAATAAGGTTTTATGTATATATGGTTTAACTATTTTATTTTTATGTATATAAAATAATATAGAATAAATCCGAACCCATATGTTTGTAATAAAATAGTTTTATCATTTATATACATCAAATTTATTTTATTGTGACTCCATGGCTCTGAGCTGTTGTAACACTACAGCGGGCTATTAGATAGACCAGTTTATCATCCATCCATACATCGTTTGCTCTGGAGAAGATTATGAATAGCTATCTTTTCATTTTGTTTGCATTTGTCTGTTTAGTTTAAAATAACTCTGTATTATGACTTGGGGGACAGAATTGTGGGTGAGTTGATCTTCGTTTTGCTCTTTATTTTTTTTGTGCAATTCGTTTGTTTTTTAGTTGGTGTTTTCTCCCCACTTCTTAAATATTAATATATCAAAATTTGATTTATATATCAATCAAATCAATAAATATATTATATTAAAATCTAAATTCTAGTAATTTTTATTATTTCTAGATTTGAGATTTGCTTGCTTTTCTACTTCTCTTCCCTTCTGATTTCTATTTATTTTTTGTGCTATTTTATTATTTGACTTAGAAATTTGTATGTTTATTGTTTAAGTAAGTTTTTTAAGTAAATTATTCGCTTATTAATAATTATTAATTAATTGGAGATTGTTATTTAAAATGAATTAATATAATAATTATATAATTCATGATGAATAATTAATGATTAAAAATAAATGAATAAATAAATAAATGAATGAGTACATCAGCAACTACTGATTTTTACTGACTTTTTTATACAATAAGATAAGACATATGAAATTATTATTGAAATTCAATCATTAGATTAGTTTAGTAAAGTTAGCATGCCCATGTGCAACATACATCATATAATTATTTATAATATGACAAAGAAAGAGTTATAAAAACTGTCATCAGATAGATTTATATGTTAAATTGGAAATAAAGTAAACAAAAATGCATTTTAAAAAATACATAAAAAATTTCAATAATATATATTTTTTATTTTTTACTTAATAATTTTTAAGCAAAGTCTTTGATAAATTCAGATTCTTCTCTCCATTTTTGAAATTCTCTAGTTTTTGATACACTGAATAGCTTTAATTAAATTAAAATTACTAATTAATACAACCAGACTCTTAATACAACTGACTGACTAATTCATCACAGAGAGGAAATGTAACATTCCTTGTGCAAGGATGCTTTCACTAGATTAATTTATATCTCTAATCTGTTAACATTCATCTGTCTGTTGTTGTTGTTGTGGTTGTTGTTGTTGCTGCTGCTGCTAGTATTAATCATTGTGTCATTTTTATTGTTATTATTATTATTATTACTGTTGTTATTAGCTTTGTCTGGACATAATATCAGTGATGATATAGAAATAATTAATAAACCTTTAATAGGTTTTTTATTTTGATTATTAATTGTATTAAATAAATAATTAGTTTAATTGATTTTATTAAGTCAGTAATAGTTAATGCATAAGCTTAATTTTTGCTACATTATTCTTTTCTGTTTTTAAAAGTAAATTTTATTTTATCAGAAAATTAATGTAGAAATTGATGTATATATATATATATTTTATTGAAGTTTAATATATATATAATATATATATATATATATATATATAATGTGTGGGTATATAATATAAATGCTTAATCATCCTATTAAACATATTTTCTAAACAATTTAGTTATTCAATCAATGAATGCATGCATGCAAATTTTATAAACTAAACATAGAAAATATTGAATATCATATGAAGGATATTGTTTGTAACATGTTGTGGCTCACCATCATTTTTACAGAGAGTATGAAGATTATTGTGGTGTGAAAGATTATGAGTTTAAAAGCTGAAACACATTTCTGATCTTTTATATTTCACATGAATAAACCTGTTTAAAAAAAAACTTTAATTTAGAATCTAGTTGCTTGGAATAATTTTTGACAGCAAAAGTGAAAATTGATATAGATAATAACCTGACTCAATTTAATTTCGTTTAATAACTTTTACTGTTATGAATTTATGATGTAAAATGATCAAGGATTTCAATCAAGTAAGTGTCTTGAAAAAAATGAAAGATGGCCAAGTTTTTTGTGCAAAATATTGCTCACAATTATAATATTTTTTCTAATCAATATCTCTAACAAGTTTGGCACTCTTGGTTGAAAATGTTTTAACGTGGTTATGAGAATATGAGTATTGCATTTAAAGTTAAGAGATAATTGAATTCATTTTGTCTTTTCTTTTTAAGTTTTTTTCATCATTCACTGTCGACCCACCAAACAACAACACACGTTTAGACGGATTTTTCCCCAGATCGGGGGTTGCCGTTTGGCTACCTATGATGAAACCGAAATACCCCTCGACGCCATCCACATCTGTCACTCGTCTCAGTATCACGCAACCCCGCTTCCACCCTGTCCTTCTCCACCTGCTCTCTCCATCCCAATCGCAGACGACCCCTTCCTACCACTCCTTCAACCTCGAAGTCCAACGCTCGCCTAATCCCGACCCTTTCATCCCTTCTCAACACATGTCCATACCACCGCAATCTCGATCTCCTTATCAATGTCACAATGTCCTCATTCAGTCCCATCATTGACATCAGCTCTGTACTACTCCTCCTATCCTTCACTTTAACCCCACACATCATCCTCACCATAGCTCTTTCAGCCCTCTGCAGTACACTTTCCTCCTCTCTCCTCAACAC